TCATCTTAATTATTGTTCTTTTGGTTTCATCCTTGTCAGCTTCTCTTTGGTCAAAGCTTTCATTAAATAAGTCCTTGTAAGTTGTCGACACATTTTTACTTTCAATAAGCCAAGAAAATATTGCTTCATGTAGCTCGGTATATGAGAGTTTCTTGATGAAATCTGGATAACAAAATATGTGATTTGAGACTTTATTGAGACTAACAGTAGTTCTCCTTATTGAAGATCTTTGTTCTGTACTCAGAAAGTTCAAGTAAATTTCTATTATTGGAGCTCCCCAAGATAATGGATCTTCCCAAAGTAACGGTAATCCAACTCTGCACCATTCCCGATTTACCAAGACACAAGAATGTATATCGGGGTCTGAAAGTTCCTTGAAGATCTTGGTTAGCATCTCCGACGAGAACTCATATATCTTCTTTAGCTCGGCGTATTTACTACTTCTTGTTTTACCCATTTCTGAATTAATGATCAATTGACCGAGAGCGCGATAATATACACGTCACGTAATCAATCCAATCGTTTTTAGTCATGTGGCTGACTTACTATGCGATCAATCAAATTTTTGACGCGTGAATTATAGTTTGTGAAATATCGAATACTGTATATATTATCTACTGTATATACTTAAGAAATACAGTGTGTTGAAATTTATCTTTATTATAATTTAATTAATAATTAATAAAAAATATTTACTGTATTATACATGTTGCTAAAATCTATAGATTTTTGATACAATTGATACAATTATTTAATATAATTATTTGAATCACTATTAAAACATATAATTAATTAAGTCATGATATAATTATTTTTGAGGATTTTTAGAATTAAGTCAATAGCAAAATAATTTTTTTTTTCTTGTAAAGAATACTAATATCACATTTATTTTTATTGAGTTATTATATCCAATTATATGAGTACAAGGTTTATTTAAGTTAATTTATTCTCCCATCTATAGTCTTATCTATTTATATTAATTTTATTTATTATAAAAATAAATCAATATATTGAGTAAGATTTTTAAAAAATAAAAATCCTATTACTAGTTTAAACCATCTAATCTAATCTAAATTCTAATGATTATCATTTGAAGCATATATCTTTAGAATTAATTAAAATATTTAAATAATCCATTTAATATTTTTTATCTAAAACTTCAAAGAAGATACTATATATTCTTTGTCATTACCTATAATTTCAAATTTTCTTTTTTATCGAGTTTTCTTTTTTTAAGTATTTTTTGTATTATGGAGTTTGCCATATCAAAAAATTATAGTCTTTTATTGAAACTAGACTAAAAATCTTTTCTTATGCAATTTTTTTTGCTTTTATCTGTTTTTAACTTATAATTGTCAAAATGATCAAAGGTTATATATCTTCATGCAACCTAGTTAAATTTGATCAAGATTCAAATATTTAAGTATAATATTTATAGAAAAACTAATAAATTTACAAATAAAAAATAATTTTATATATTTTGTTTCCTGTAGATATTAAACTAAAAATATATATTTAAAAATCTGGAAGCACTATCTACTATACTATTGATCCACTAGTCTATTAATAATAAAATAATTTATATTACATATATATATTATATATATATATATTTATTATTATTATTATTTTTTTTTTTACACCTAATTAGGCCATATATTTAAGTTTATTCAAACTAATATGTTTGGATTGACCCAAGGTACAAATGAATAGATACATAAAGTATCTAAAAGATCTATACTAAGGGTTAAACTTCTTGCTTTATATGACATACCCATCAATAGTCACTGGCCTCTAGATGTGATTAAGGGGAATAAATAAAATTG